GTTTCTGTGGCTCTATAGAGCCAGATTTGCCCGCCAAACTGTTTCCTCTGAGAAGAAACAATTACTAGGCAGGCTTCGTAGTGATTAGAAGATGAACTTTTATTTATTTCATTAGCTAACGTGCACTTCAACAGTTGCTTAGTCTTTGCTGAATTACAGGTTGCTGTTAACAGTCTGAGCTTGTTTAACTCTGAGATATGCTTGGTCTGGTCCAATTAGTCTGGAAATCCTAATCTTCCCAAGCTTTTCTTAAGATGAGATGCATATGACGGGAAAGGACTGAGTTTAACAGGAAAACTTGAGCTAGTCATTTTTGGTAAGAGCAGGATTATGCAGCAGGTTGTCTGCCACTGGTGTAACTCCATGATTCTACCCCCAGAAGCAGAAGGTTAACATTAGGAAAACTATCCTCTGCTTGCTCAAGCAGTCACTCTGGGAAAGTGGCTTGTAGCTAATTGATTTCACAAGATGCTGTCGCAGAAAGAAAATCAGCTGCATATGTTAAAGGAGGGCACATATTGTAAGCACTAAGTAATGTGTGAAGTTTTCTGGATAACTAATCATGAAAAATTGAGCATCCTTTTAGCATTGCAATATCACTGGCTTGCAAATGGTATTAACAAAGTCATAAGATAAATTTTTGCAAAATCATATGTTTCTTTAATTGCTCATATTTTGGCTTTGTTTCTCAACTGGACTCTGTTTCATACAGAATAACTCATTGGCCTCAAAGTAATGTTTTTAAGTTACAGAATATTTCCAGTATTCTTGTGAAACAGCCCTCCCGATCTCTGAAAATGCAGCTCCTGTGGGACATCTCATGTATCAGTGCTATGAACGTGACAAGCCAGGGCTGCTTCAGTCTGATGTAAAGTGAGGAAACAGAGTTTACATGTAATTTCATAGCAAAGTACATGAGATACATAGCATAGAGGACATCTGTTGTTTCTGACCCTGTCAGTGATTTATTTCCCTGAGATCTAATAAAGGAGAGATAATGAATTTACAACTTCAGCCATCAAATATATTTTTTTAAATTCATAGAATCACGGAATCACCAAGATTCGAAAGGACCTCCCAAGGTCATCCAGTCCAATCACTCACCTATCATGAATATTTCCCCTCATCCCTCAATATAACATCTAAATGTTTCTTGAACACCTTCAGGGGCAGTGACTCCACCAGAATCTCCCCTAGTGCAACTTGAGGCCATTCCCTCTGGTCCTATCACTCATAAATTCATAAATTTTCAATTTAAAAAACAAATATTTTCATGTATTTTTTTTTAGAAATGGAACAGAAGAGGCCTGCTATAGGCATACAAAAATGTGTTTGAGATAAGTTAAACTTCAGTACTAAATTTTTTTTTCTCAGGTTCAGCTTTAAAAGTGGGAACTATTTAACTAAGGAATGATGAGATAAGCTCCATTGTTGGTTCTTTTGAGTATTCCTCAGATGGTTAAGCTTACTACAAGACTCTAATATTAAAGTAAGTAGACATCTTCTGGGAATTTCCTCTCTAGCAAGAAGGTCGGCTATTGCTTCCATTACAGAGAAATGCCATATTTGAAAGTATTCTTAAGGTCAAAGGGCTCCAAGTGATATTAGAAAGCAGTGGCTGTACAATAGGAAGTGCTCAGTCTCTCAGCACTTTAAATAGACTGGAAAAAATGAGAGAGGGGAGACATGCTCCTCCTGAAAGGTGCCCAGGAGGGAAAAATTTTCCACTAATGTATTGAGCCATGGTGAAATTAAGGAAACAAAGTCTGCAGGAAACATGGATTATTTCAGCCTCATGATAAAAATAAAACAACGTTTTCACATTTCTAAAAAGTGCTACTCAATTGATTATATGTAAAAATGAGTGGGGCTAGTTTACAGACTGAAAGAATATTCACTATCTGGCAAAGTTTAGTTTTGCTTTTGCCTCACCTCCCCATTTTGGATGTGACATACCCCTTCAATTTGAGTTCAGATGCCAATTCCCCTTCTCCTAACAGACTGCTGGGCATAGAGGATGCACATCTAATAATGATGAGTAGCTTTCCATGCATAGCCTTTCATGCGTGGATATAGTATTGCTGACGAATGTAATAGTATATACATTTCTGCTGTAGTGCTAAAATATCAGCACATTCTCTGCAGTATGTGAGTCATAGTAGCTCCAAGGCAGTATAGCAGATGGTGCTCTGAGAGAAACAGTGTGCCATATCTGATGTGCTTGGAAATAAATGAGAAACATCTTCCCTATAAAGAAAACAGAACCACAATATTTTCCTGCTCTTTCTGTGTGACAACATGTTGACTGAATGGAGCAAAAAGATAATTGTAAGACATTGCATAGTACCTGCATAAGTCAGAGCCCCTTCGAGGTACTGCTGCTCCTCCGCAGTCTCAGCTTACCCTACCACATCTTCACCAGCATTATTCCTTGCAATCCTATTCACACAGACAGTGTTCACCAAATATGACTTCTCGTGCACTTCCAAATATACTTCAAATACTGCAAAAATATGCTGTGTTGCTGTATGTGAGTAACATGAGAAGTGTGTATTAGACCCAAAGTTTAATAAAAACATGTTTTATCCACAAAAATATGCTTTGCTGCCTTTTGAGGCATCAATACAAAAAGCTGTTAAAATTCAGTTTGTGTGCCAAATATTTAGACCAACAAAGTAGTACAAAGGAAAAATAAGTATCTTGACAACTGCTTTAAAAAGAAATGCAGCCAATAAATTTAAGTAGCTAAGCATTTGTTTTCCTCTACTTGATTGCCTAAACAACTTATTTTAAAAATAAAAGAAGTAAGTCTCAAAGTAAAGATGTAGTGCAGCAGTAGCAGCTTTCTGAAGAGGGTATTACAGTAGATACATCCACTGTACAGTAGATACACCCTGATGCAGGATCTAGCATAGCAAGCATCTCTGAGAAGTATGTTGAGTCTGGAATACCATAGGAAGTTTAGGTTTTTATGAGACTAAGATACACAGAGCATAATCTTATTCTGGCAGTTGTTTCTTTCTCGTTTTGGTCTCTGTAAGAAGTTTTCCAAATCTTTTAGTTGTTTTAGTGTTCTTCTCAGCCTAATTCATTTGTGGCCATGAATACTCCAAGGTTATGCAGTTTCCAAAATATGAAAAAAAGAGCTAATTGACATACTTTAGCATCATTCTAAGATGGTTTAGATTGACAGAGTGATGAGACAAACAATAATTCTGAATCACGTTTTTTAAGAAAAACCAAGACTCTGCAAAGCATTTTAATAGATAGGTAATCTGTTGAAGAATAACCTGATAATCATTAAAGAGAGGAAACAGGTAAACCAGGAAAGTCGAGGAAGAAAGAAAAGTGTTTCTTCAGTTGTGTCTTACAGTCCTTGTCAATTCCTGCAGTAAATTTTAATACTTTTGCTGGGGGAGCCTTTCAAATAACTATTTGTTTGAGCTGCTCAGAGACCAGAATGTGTCTTCTGTGTCAGTGTGCTGTCCTCACTTTAATCGTTGCATCCCTTTTTTGAGCTACATAGCCCTGTTCCATCCAGCTTTCTTTAAGCCTGCAGCTTTTTCTGTTGACCTCCGGATTCAATAATATTGATGATCCCAAGCTCCCTTCTTTAAGATGTTTTCTCCATCATGGATTAGAAATTGTTGCAGATATTGGACATCCATAATCTGTACAGAAATCATCAAATTGTAGTTTTCTGGACTCTCTCTTTGTCTCAGGCATCAATGTTGTAGTGAATCCTCAAAATATTTAATTCTAGTTTCATCTTGGCTTGTTTACAATCTGTTCCCACTGCACTTTTCTCAGAATGATGGATTCCCCATCACCCCAGTACTCCAAGTCATTAAACTCATGATTCATTTAATCTGGCATTGAGTACCCAGAACTAATTAGGTTCAAACCCATTGCTTTAACTGTATTTGTGTCATTTTCTTCAGCCTGAATTTCTGTCTCCTAGCACAGCTCAGTAACCCTGGAATGCAACAAACAATTTCCTGGCTGCTTTGGAGCAAACAAAAAGTTTATAAATTTTCAAAATCTACGATTATGTCTATTTCAGGATTTCTAGAAGATAGAGAACCTCTCTAAAGCTTTCAGGACATTATGTCTGAGTGCACTACAACATAAAATCTATAGCAAGTAATCCATTGCTCAGGATTTTCAGGTAAAAAGCACTGCAAAGATATTAATTAGAAATGTAAATCCTTAATGGGCTGAAAAAACAACTATTATTCTGCATTTAAAACACTTTTATATTTGTATTCTGAAAATCCTCACACTTAAGACATGTTTTGCTATAGTCCAAGGAGCAAAAGTTTTAGATTTCTTTGTCTGTCAACAAGGTGAAAAAATAAGGTTATTTTTTTCTGTGTGTACTTAATGCCAAAGAAATGCTGTCCACTCATTTTCCTATAAAAATCTCAGCTCCTGTGTCTTTTGCAGAGCCATCTGCTCCTGCTAATATCCCATTGAAAATGAAGAATGTATTCAGCTGCTTCTTCTATACGGTAAGTACAGATTTTGACACACATGCTTTGCTGCATTTATGAGTCTTTCTTAATTTGAATTCTAGATAAATAAAGACAGACTGGAAATTAAAGTAATCATGTTTCAGCAGACAAAGACCTCAAGAAAATTAATCAATAAAGTGAGAGTTGCCAATATATAAGCTCAGAGAATTTGCAAATTTGAGTGAAAACACATCTTGAAAGGATCATTAGCAAAACATATGGAAAAAAATAGGAAGAAAGAAAAAAAACAAACCAGAAGTGTATACTGTAAGGATTGTATAAAATTCATGCCCCAATCTGAAATAAAACGTGCATATATTTTCCAGTAAATATTATAAAGTGTAATATAGGGACAAAACTATGATTGGCTAATGAGCTAAGACTGCAGGAATGAAAATTACCACATTCAAGTCCCATCCAAAGTTGAAATATGTGCACTCACACAAGGAATATCCATCCAGAATACTGAAGCAAGTGGCACAATATCAAACCTGGTATGCTGCTTAGCAGAGGAAAAACATAAGTAGAATTTCCATGTACCTTTCTTTGATAAAGGCTCTGTAACTGCCCTGCCACATCCCCTACTTTTTGCAGTGACGTCATTTACATGACAGAGGGGCAGGTTTGGTTTCAGTCTGTATTCTGCAGCAATCTCTGTGCACATCCGAGCCAGGTGGCTAACCTACCTGTGTACATCTGCTCCTGCATCTTATCATTGCTTTCTTCCACTCTAGACTTGCAGATATGTAGTATATACTGCACCATTATAATCAGAAGAAAAAAAGCAAAAAAATGGGACAACGAGGCTATGCAAAGCCTCAAAGGACAGGGATACCACTTAACAACCAATGCAAGGCTTAAATTCTGATATTTATAAGTGAAATTGCATGTATCAATTTGAATAATTTTAGCTTTCTTGACCCTTTCTTTACACAGAATATTCAGGAGATACAGGAAATTATTTTTTAAACCAATAAAGCATAAGGTTTATTTCCTCCTATGTAGAAAATTATCTCAGTTCATGCATTTCTATGGAAATGCAGTACTCAACTTCCTGGTAAATTGATATTACATTTCTGCCAACCTCTTAAAATGTTTTCCTTTGCCCTTATTGATTATGAGAAAAACTCAAGCCAAATCTTGAGGCAAAAGAAGCAGGCATATAACAAAGCTACAAGTGGCTAGCAATTAATTTATAATATTGTGAGACTGATCTACATAGAGCCTTTTCCTAGAAGGGTAAAAGGTGGGGAATCAAAATATGGTACAGGAAACTCTGAGCCTGCCTAGTCTTCTCTGCCTGTCCTGGCTTCAGCTGGAGCTGTTTTTCTTCATAACATTAGGTATGATGCTATGTTTTGGCTTTAGGAGAAAAACAGAGTTGATAACATAACAGTGTTTCAGTTGTTGCTGAATTGGGCTGAACAGAGCCCTCTCATCTTCTAATACTGTCCTGCCAGCAAGGGATGCAGACAGGGCACCAGGAGTTGGAGGGACAGAACCAGGACAGCTGATCTATACTGACCAAAGGGGTATTCCATACTGTACCACACCGTGTGGGGAAACTGTAAAACCGAGGGGAGTTGGCCACTGCTCAGGGGCTGGCTGGGCATTGGTTGGCAGGTGATGAGCAATTGCTTTGTGCATCACATGTTCTACCCTCTTTTTCCCATCCATCCCACAATGGATGGTGGGGGAAAATGTGAGGAAAGGGCTGTGTAGTGTTCAATTGCTTGCCAGGTTAAACTACAATGCTGCCCCATCTGCCACTGAATTAATTTTTTTTTTCCTGGACTACAAGCCAGTCTCTCTTTCCCAAGAGACTTCTTTTGTGAACTGTAGCTTCATTTCCAAACTAAAGACACAACAAAAAGCTGTTGAATCAAGAACAAGCTGTCTGAGTTGATAACCTTCAACTATAGTTTACAAGTGATGGACTCTTCCACGAGCCCTGTATCACATCTCTCCTGGAGTTCACTGACCACACAGTTCTACATATTTTTCTTTTGGTCACATGAATGATCATACTTTCACTGAAAACAACCCATTTTTTCAAAGCCTTGTCCTTGCTGGAATCACTACCCACATTAAGGACCTACTCTGATCTCATACATGCAAAAATATGATACTTAAATACTCCTGAGAGAGCGGTGGCAGGCGTGGCTTCTGCTCATTCCACTATCAAAACACTTTGCCACAACTGGAGAAACAGAAGAGATGGAAAGATAATTCAAAATAAAAATAAAAATCATTGATGTTAATTTTGGAATAATCTTCATGTTCTTTACCCTTGAAATAGTAGCATCACTTTTAGTAGTTACTTCTTCCTCCTTTTTTGTTTAGCAGATGTTCACAGTGAGATACAGCAAAATAAAAGCAGATCTGGCTCTCTGCTTCCAGACCTTATTTCTGCCTTCTTCTTCATTCGGTTTTATTTTTAAACTCTCTCCAAGGAAGATGTAGCTTACTTTAGGGCTTACTTCAAGGAAGTTCCTTACAAGTTCCCATATGTGTCTCCTTAACAGCTTATCTCTGTAAATCAGCAGCAGGCCCAGCAGCAACTGATAACTGTATGGAGCTGATGGGCTTTGCCTATTTGTAGTGCAGTCAGTTCACTAATGAGGAGCTGGCAAGAGGCACAATGCACTCTGGACCTCATTAAAAAGGCTTATTTTGGCTTGCTGAAACATTACCTCAGGAGTTGAGCACTGGCACATTGCTGCAGAGAGGGAGGCCCTGCTTCCCTGACAGAGGTGGTTCCTTCCTACGTTACTCATAAGTCAGCTGTCCTCCCTGTCACTCTTTCTTCAGATGTGACACTAACACTTGGATGAAAGCGGGTTCAACTCAGAGACCTGCCAATGGCCACCGTCTGGAGCATGGGGAGACACCTGCAGTGCCTTTAAAGCTCACTCATCAAATTACACAGACATCCTCTTGACATAAGGGGCACAACATGAGGGGTGGGCACTCACACACGCTGCCCTCCTGGGAGCCCCACTGCATGCAGAGGGAGGAAAAGCCCTGAAGCGCTTACCCTGCTCTAACCAAACCTCACTATTCTGTTCTCTCAGGTATGGCAGCTGTTTAAAAGTGAATGGCAGTAATTAGTACTTCCTAACCTGCTCTCATTTTCCTCAGCTGTCATGTCCAGGTTTGCTATTTTCAGCTCAGACACGCTGGCAAAAGGGACGCTTATGGAGGAGAGCTCAGTCAGTGCCAAGTCCAAAATCTCTGAGGCTGCCGATTGTTTTGCTTGGAGGCTCATCTCCAATCTGGCCTAGCAGAAGAATGAAAACATGACAAATCTGATTAGTCTTTATTCAGCCCTCAAGTATGTGACTACTCCTGCTGTAAAAATGGAAACCCGAGGCTCTGGTTGTGCAAAAATTACTTTAGAAAGGAAACAGCGACTTGAGCTGTGACAGCAGCACTTCCAGTCAGGTGGAAGAGCCAAGCCACGGACAGCCAGCGCCTGTGCCTGAGCTTGGTGTGTGGTGCCTGCTGACTGCGGCGCTGGTGGCCCATGCAGGAGGCTCACATGAACCTGGTGGGAGCTGGGCTGCTCTGGAATGCCCCTGCAGGAATTTAGCCTCCTGCTATGCTGAGCAGTCTCTGGGATAGGTACACAAGTGCCAGCAGAAGTGGAGCTCTCCAGACAGGTTTTCATTTCTAAGACACTGGATGCAGAAGCATTTGGAAAATGGTGGGAAAAAAAACAGGATCTTATCTGCAGATTTTCATTAGCAAAGATCAAAAGCTGGTTTAAGTTAGCCTAATTACTTACTTATATAGCATTATATATTTCCAGGTCCATGTAAGAAGCACAGTTTCAGCTGCTTTGCTTGAGCTACTGCGTTTGGTGTTTGGAGACCACCAACATCCTTTAGTTAATATGATGGGAATTTGCTGGCCATGTGGCTGCTAGGCTATCAACTCAGAGGTGGGATTTATATGAAGAGATATACGAGAAATGCTTTTCTGAATTAGCAGTGGTTTTATTATTAGACAGGAATATCCTGGCCATGGATCTTCAACAAGATTGGAGCTGTGGTTTTGTTCTATGCTTGTACAGAAATATGATGCACATAATTATATAATGGCAGCAGCAGCCAGCTTTTTGAGATGTCCACCAGAGGGCGCACGCCTGGAGCGCACCTTCACAACGGACTGCTAGCTGTCCCTGCCCTTTGAGGCTTTTGTGTCTCCTGCTGTCAGTACTCTGCCGTAGTCCTGGCCCCAGCTGTGCTGCAGCCTCCACCTTGGCCTTTATTCACTATGCAGGTGCAGCAGATTTGATACATCCTGTAAATTTACTGCCATGAAACTGCAGTCTTATCAATTTTTCTTTTCCTTTATTTCATACTTTCTTTAAAAAAAAAAAAAATGGTTTTAAAATCTCTTGATTTTCAACATCAAGTCATTTTTTATATGTTAAATTGTTGCTTGTTCTTTCTATGTACCGCTCACATCTCAGACAAGCTGTAAGTCATACTACTTGATTTCACCTCTCCTTATGGATACAGTGGTGACATTTCTTTAAAATGCAGTCTCAGTCCAAAAACATTTGACTGAGGAGGATTTAAAACCAAACAACCAAACAAAAAACAAAAGCAGAGATATTACCTCTGTTGCCTAATATCTCTGCTTAGCCTGAGATAACTTTGATCCCAACTCTTTCAGTTATTTACTGGACAGAAGCTGAGATGAACTTGCTTCTACTGCTTTTGATGTTTATTTGATGAGAGACTACTTTCTTGACATAACTACATGGAGCTTTAAGAAACACTTCAAATTATCATTAGAAAGCTGCTTTTTGGGTTTTTTTTCTAATTTAAAGAACAAGAAGGAATCCATATTTCATGTTTGTCATCGTCATAAAATAAAAGCAAAATTAGATAAGTTCCATAAATTGAACTCCCTGCACATGGCATCTTCCAAATAAATTGTAAGAAGCCAATGTTTCCTGATTCTTTCTAGTATTGAAGAAAAAAAATGAAATGAGTTATGCAGGTTTCCATCCATTCTGCCTAATAACTGATACTGAAAAAAATAATAAAAGATAATTTATCTAAAAAAAAAAAAAAAAAACACAAAGCACAAATATTGAAGGAAAGGAAAAAGGAAAGAAGGAAAGGAAGAAAAAAAAATATGTTTCTTCCCTGAAAGAGATGGAATGCCTCTATCACATTCCTTTTTCCACTGTCAGTCAGCAAGATTTATTCTATAAGAAAAGTGACACTATGCTGTTGTCTAAATACACATTCAGTAAAAGGATTTCTTGCAGGCAAAGTTTAAAATTGCACATTAAATTTGATTAAGAGATTTATTTTTCCAACATTCAGACTCAAGACTGGAACACAGTGAGTTGTAGGAGCGCTGCAGGAGAGCAGATGGAATGTTCATTTCAGAAGAAAGTTGCCGTCGTGGAGTGAAAGACATCCTGTGGTACAGGGATTCTGTCTCAGTATCAATATAGCCTAGGAAGTCTCCTTAAGAAGCCCTTACAGCCGCTCCAGAGCCAACAGATTCAAGGCTGAATCAGCAACATGATAGTCCTGCTTGGTCCTCAGGTGCAGATATTTAATATTAAATGTGGATTTGATGAGTGTTGTCAAGCCCCTAGAACCAGGAAAGCTAAATCTCTTCAAGAAAAGCCTCTGATGAGCACCAGGATAGGGAAGGTTGGAGGAAAATGAATTGCCACAAGAAGACGTGAGGGAGCTCCAAGCAATCCCTAACACAGAGAGGAAATCTTACACAGCTATTAGATGCCAGCAGATCCTACCAGTCCAAGGTGCTCTTTCAGTCATCTCTCCATGAAACAGGGACATTGAACGTGGGAAAAAGTTAGTGTCTAAAGCATGTGATGTTTCTTTTTAAGAAACGTTTCTTACCTAGTACTATTTATACACCAGAAAACTTTTTATCCTTACATGCAAGGTTTTACTGCCAGAAGAGTGGATATTCAACGTATTTTTTCATTAATTGTTATGAGATAAAGGATAACATGCTTTTTCAGTAGACAACTCATTTTTTTCCGCCTGAGTATTACTTTAGATTAGTGGCAGCCTAATTGCTACTATTTATCAGAAAGCTAATTTGATCAATCAAGAGAAGACAGATCTATGGCCCTATGGCCCTCCACTGCACGATATTGAAAATGCTGGTTTGAACAGGTTATAAATCCATGTTATGTGATCAAGCTGAAGGTTCAAGGAACAGCCACACTGAAAAATAAGCAGTTATGTTCAGGCTCTAGCCTTGAGATCATTTCTAAGCTCATCCCTCTAGAGTCTGACTTATGAGCTGCTTACAACCCTAAGAAATTTGATAAAGCAGTCATACAGATCTCTGAATTTTCTAATGTTAAGAGATAAATTTGTAGGTTTACAGAGAAAATTTTTTTTAAATTCAGAGAAAGTTATTTTTTTGGGTTCTTGGAGAAGTAAAAATCTGAACTTCCCTGTAATTAGACATCCTAGGAGAGCTTTTAACCCATTTGCTTCCTTCTGTTAAAAACTTTTCAAGACCCCTGGCATTCTCTGTATCTTACTCTAAGAAAACAATTATATGTGGCCTGTGTTAAAGATGACGTGTTCTGGCAATATACTTTACTTTCTCATTAACATTTTCTGGAATATCCTTTTGTCTCCAAGGCTGAAGTATATGCACATCTGCTCAGCTTCGCAAAAGCTGTAGGAAGGAAGCATCCATGTTTGGACAGAGTTGTTAGTAGCTGGCTTGCCTGTCACACAGCTCAAGTAGCTGGTTCTCTGCATGCAGTGCTAACTTCCATGTCGAAGTGTTAATTAATAGTAATGCAAAGGTCACCTGTCTACAACTGGAATTCCTCCCCTGTGGAGAAAAGCAGAGAGAATCAGTGATGCAAAAGAGCATACTAAAACCACCATAAAAACAAGAAGCTTGTCTATTCCCTGAGTTTCTCTTACAAAAAATAGGATGAACAGTTTGCATGCTGGAGTACAATTTCTCACAGATTACATGCACAGACAGATCCTGCTAAAGAATGAGAATCTTGATTTAGGAAATACAAATTCACTGATTTGTATTTCCTACAAAGTTTGTAAATGGGTGACAGAGTGGAAAAAGGAATGTGATAGAGTCATTCCATCTCTTTCAGGGAAGAAACCACAAAACAATGTACAACTCTTGCATTCACAGCCTCGCTGAGAAAAATACTTGCAGGAGAGCAGGGCGTGGAAGGTGGTAACTGTGGAGACTTTGAAACTTGAGTTTTTGCTTTGGCTATGGGGTCAGTTTCAGTTGCAGTAATTTGTCTTTGGACCTGTATCCTCATATGGCTATGCTTTATCTCAGTCAGAAATTAAATCCAGGAGGATGCTAAGAGGTTAGTTCAGAATGTAATAAAAATTATGCAAGAAAGGTAGCTTTCCTTGGCCTCTTCTCCTGTGCAAGAGGGACAGTAAATCAGGCAGAAAAACAATCAGAATGCTGAATTTGTTGAAATATATGGCAGAGAAAGAGAAAACCCTTTGCGTAAGACATTTTCCTGCATGGTGAGTCAGGGAATTTATGTGCCATTAAGTGCTCAACAAAGACTGTCTCAGAGTGAAAACGTAACTCCTTCAAGCAGTTGTGAACAAAGAGTCAGGATCAGCCTACACAATTAAACTTGCTTTCAGCATCCAGTGTGCTAGACCAATGTGCTTTTATACAATGAAGAAGGAATGTTAACTACAAAGAAAGTTTATAAAGAGTGAATTAACCTTTCATTAAGACAGGTCTAAATTTGAAAGCTAGATTTTCTGACACGAGAGCATTGTATTACCATGGGAATATGCGTCTGCTGCTCCTTATGGTTGTATGATTGAGATAAACATGTCCAGAAAATTGTTGATGCTCTCCAGTCCTGTCTTATACTGCCAGAAAATATTTAGAATTACTTATATATACTTGTGATTCATTCTACCAGACAAAACTGTGCTACATAAAGACAGATGTGAAAGTGCTGTGTGTTCTGTCACTTTGCTGGTAGATTGTATCGTACTGAGACCAGCTGGAGTCAGCGAGATGGTTCATGCAACTGTTCATATTTATCTAGAAGTTCTCAACATGTTCATTGAAACAATACTTCTTTTTTTACTCAAGGAAAAGATATGCAGAGAAATAGAAATTATTGGAGCTCTTCTGTGGAGCTCTTCTTTGCAGTCAAGGCTTGTTGCCTTCGTTTGAGTTGCATGTGGAGATGGGTGGAGTGTAGCAGTCACCAGACAGAAAATAAAACAAAGCACTTGAAGCTGGCAGGCGGACCAATACAACACAGTAAAAGTTGGCAACAAAGCCTTTGAATCATTCCAGAAATAAAATAGTAGGGATTTACGCTTTGCACAAATATTACTCTGCAATAAAATTACATGAATCTTCATCAAGAAGCAAATCTAAAACAGGATTTTTTTTATTTTTTTTTTTTAAAGAGGGCTTCAAAATTAAATACCTCTGTTGTCCAGTAACTGTGGAGTTTATAAGAGAAGACCATCTGTTCCAGAGACCAACAACACAACCTGTGCAGCTAGGCAGCAGGATAGCAGTAGGAAATGACTTCATAGGGGCCTATCACATCTGGTTTTAAAGCTAGTAGACTTTTACATTTCTTTTGGTTTTTTTGTACTGCAATCTCTGTATGTCCCACAAAACCTTTTTGTCTGGCAGGATTTATGAATTAGATGGCTGCTTTGAATTTATTTGTTTTTTAATCTATCTATGAACAGGAATATACATGATTACATAAATACACCCACAGTATAGCTGGGTGTTCTTGCAGCTTCTATCACTTCTGTGAACAGCAGTTAGGATTATATCAGGGATGAAGAAAATTTCTGTCTTCATAAAAGATTAATATAAAAACTAATTACATAGACTCTCTTGATTACTTATCAGAAACCAGAACCAAACCAGAGCAGTTGTCCATTATCTGAACTACATAGCTATTTTTAATATATATGTAATTGTTATCTGGGTGTAATTTTTGGCAATTTGTAAACATTTTCTTAAATTCTGAATATTGAATTCATTGAAACTTTAATGAGTGCATTATTGACCCATTTATTTTTGTCAAAAACTGAGAAAATGTATAATAAATAGCATTACGTTGACCTGAAATTTATTTACTAGTTCTCACCATGGTAAGAATATCTGATGCAATACATCTAAGTGAACATATCCTAAAGTGCTTTAGAGAACTGCTATCATATATTTCTGTGGATGGTGGAATATGCAGTTTCTGTGCTTTTCTTTAACAGCAACTTTATGCAGGTCCAATACAAATATTATGGATATTGTACCAGGAAAACTACAATAGGTAAGTGAGCCTCACTGACATTTCCTTTTAAATTCCTCTTCATAATGTCTATCTAAATGATTCCGTGGAAGGATACCCCTGTGCATCACGCTTTCTTTTCAGGGCACAAAAGGAAAACTGTGACCTAAGAACTCTGAGAAACAAATGGGAAAGAATGAAAAGTCTGATCTTGTGACTCCATTTGGATTCTTCATCCAGCACTGTGGAGAAATTGCATAGAAAGAGATGAAGTTCCTGCTATTGCTGTAGGAGGAATAACAATGTAACGGAGGAATAACAATATAACGGAGAAGAACAAAGAATAATCTTAAGGTTATGCCACAGGGAATCAGCTGTGGTTCTCCTGCGCTAGAGGTGAGCAAGGTGAGTGAGTTTATCTAAAATAAATAAATAAGAACTGGAAATATTTGAATGAACCTCACTATTGGAAATACTGCATGTATTAGTCCTACATTATTATTGCACGCAGGATTTTCCCCTTACACGCATCTGATGAACTGCCACTTGTGTTTTTTCTGGCAGTATGAAGGAGTAAACATTGGTCATCGTGCTTAGAGCTGTACTGGGGCCTAATTGAAAAGAGGAAATTTGCACTAGTAAAGAAACCCACAGTCTTCCCTCCCACACCCTGTTGCTCATGTCAGCAACTCTTTGGCAGGCATAAGTGTGACAGCTAGCCCAAAGCTACCCCTCCAGCATTAGGACGGGAAGTTACTGTGCCTTCTGCTGAAAGCTGGCTTTTATACAAAGGGCCAGGGTTGCAGCCCTTTTCCTAAGAAGTCTGATTTCTTGTGTATAAGCTTATGCCTTCCCTCTTAGTCTCATAAGAAGTAAGGCCAGAAGAGACTTGCTTAATCACATGCTATTTTGTTCTCAAATCTTAGCAAGCTATCTCCTGTGACAGCAAGACTTGATTCAGAGGCAGTCTGTCTAAGCAGTTACTAGGCTTGTTCAGAGTAGATATTGAATTAGTTTGGAAAACATGAAGGTTCAGTCTTATGGGATAGGGTGTATTCTAGGGGTCTTACGCTCCTCCCAGAGCTGACTAAACCTCATCACTGATGGATTTGAAGGAGGTGTGCCTTCACATATTCTGCCTTTCCATTGTTAAAATTCTGATCACTGTTACTGATGACAGGAATGCAACATAATGTGTGCAAAAATGAACCAGGCCTGCTGAATTAGGAGCACATTAGGGATGTATCAACCAGGAGAGCTTGTACATCTCCTGAGGAAAAATTTTAAGTTGTTTGTCATCCTCATCTGTTTACAAATGGCACGTGCCATCAGTGTATTGACTGCAGTTGTTACAACGTATGGATCAGCTAGAAGTGAAAAAGCACTCTCTATACATGAACTCCTCTCAGAACCAAGGATGGACAGAAAAGATTGATGTACATTTGCAATCTGTGAACCATTTTCAATCAACTTAATTTAGGTGGTCCCTGGATATTGTAGATGAATATTTGAAGCTACCCTATTAAGGTTAGGGTAATTAAATTAATTTTGAGCCTCAGCTACTGGATTTTCATAACAAACTACTGATATTCAAGAAAGCAAAATGGAGCATTTATATTTAATTTTGATCCCAGATCTGATACTTGCAGGACAGCACCTAAGTTGGGAAGTCTTCAGATTCAAGCCTACCATCTTCTGCCTCCTCCCAACTTTTGCATATCTCAGCAAATTATCCCAGCTGTGAACCATTCAAGGAGTGAGTTTCTTATTTCCACTTGTCTGTAATCAGGGCTTTAAAAAATGCTGATGCAAAAGCAAAGTTTATCCAGAAGGAATATAAAAAGAGTGAAACAGCAGGACAATGTAAATTCAAGACCTCCGTATTATCTGCTAAGTTAGAAGGAATTAAATGTTTATATGGCAAGTTCTCGGGCACTCGGGATATGCAGGTACTCTTGCAGCCAAGAGACATAAGCCAAGCACTTAATTCTCCGCATATGCCCTGCATCCAGTTTTCCTGGATACTGAAGTTTTCCAATGGCCCCTGCAATGCACAGATGAGCTCCATGTTCCAGCCCCTTCTCTCCCTCGGTACAGTTGGGAACATGCTGCAGAGGACATCCCTGAATTCTGACAGCCATACTCAGCTCTTGCATCTTAGATGCCTGTCCCAACTTCTGTGAGGCACATGGAGACAGGATGTTTTGGCACTTGTAGAATGCAATCCTCCAAAACAGAGAAATGACGAGATTTTAAGCCTTGCCTGTCTGCCTAGCACTCAAGTAAGACACAAGCAGTAACAGCTGGGTCAGCTGAGAAAACTCTTTCACATGATTAGTACAGAGAGGCAGTTGTGACTTTTTTAAATCCCGGAGTCTTTTTTGTTCTGTATTTTTCCATACTGAAAACCAGGCAGCTCCTCAGGAAGAAAGGAGTGATATTTCTATTTGAGAAAGTAAATGCCTTAGAGAATGATGTGGTTTACTAGACATCATGCACAAACCACAGCGTCTTCTGTCTGAGGATTTGCAAAGTAAGCGCTGGATTTCTCCTCACCACCCAAGGTACTTTGAAATGGCCACATGGCAGGATCTAAAGGAAAATGCTGAATGCAATGGGATATTTTCCGGTGATGGTCAAATGTTGCGCTGCAGAGATTTCAGTAATAGAGAAATGGATTATCAAGAGATGGTAGCCAGGTAATGTTAGGATAAGTAGGCTCTTGATTTAGGCCAAAATCAAAACAACTTGAACTGAATGGTGCAGTGTGAAAGATGAGGCAGATGTCTTCGCACCTGATCCCTTCAAGGCCTAGATCTCTTTGTTTTGCCATTGAAAGTTCCTATGATGAAGCACAGAGCAGAAAAACAAACGTGGAAGCCAGACATCAGTCTCAGCAAAGTAATAATATATAATTATCAAAGTTCACAGAGTAATCAGGGAGAAACTACCCAAAAAGCACCTTTACTTGCATCCTCACCAGCTTCACTAGTAGTCAGCAAGTGAGATTTGATCTTACAGCTCTTAATAGATTTCTATATATTAGCACTGAAAGAAAGGATTTCAAAGGAATCATAGTCTGAAGTCTGCTAGTGTCTATCTATCTTTTCCTCAAGGGATAAATTACAGAAAAGTAATTTTTAACAAATAGGAACAAAAGATGTGAGAGTGATTTGAAATATTAGCAGGTTAATTGATGTTTTAATACATTTTTTAAAGATAGATCTAAAAATAACCTTGGGTATTTATATACGTAGATATAGTTCTAGCTGACAACATTATAGATACAGTGTCAGAAAATCATGGTTCAGAAGAGGAAAATCTGAACAACGCTCAGGATTTGTTTTCATCTATAAAAGAGTTGTTGAAATCCTGTTCATTTTTTTTTTCTTTCTTTTTCCAAAGCCAATGTTATCCTGACTTTTCTATTTTGTTCTGTTTTTCCTGAATTTGTCCTTAGATAGTCTCAACAGTAATGAAATGAGTCAGAAGATCCGTTTTTTTTTTGGGGTTTTTTTTTGTTTTTTTTTTTAAATAACAGGTTTTTTTTCACAACTGTATCAAGAACAGAGGTCTAATTTCCCTCTGCCTCTATAATACTAAATCCTTCATTGAAAAGAAAAAAATTGTTGATAAAATCACCACGAGCAACCCATCAAAATCCATATGAAAGTTTGTATGGGAACTGTTAGGTCACAGCCTGCACTTGTGATTGAGCACCTGGGGAAGAGGCGTGACGAGCCCTAGGAGCACAGGTGCAGGCAATTCATCTGCACAACAGGACAGATGCACCCTGGGTAAACCTCTCCCTCATTTAAGGGCCAGCAGCAAGGAGGGCAGTATCTATTTTTGGAGATCTTTGTCTCTGGGAAGTTTTCAATGGAAATTCATTTGGAATAAGGTAAGTATTCTTTTCTTGTTACTGGTCTATGACTATTGCTTTTCAAGTGAGATAGTTAAACTGGATAGAAGCAGTTTAATTCATTTCCTTCTCTGCCTTAAAATCAGATAAAGCAAATAGTTTCTAAAAGTATTGCTCAAAGAAATGATGACTTAATTTTATTTAATAAATGAAAACACGAGCTACAAGGTATAATCTAGATCAAAAAATAATGGATGGTGAAAATAGCAAAAGATTAAAAACGACTCCTTGATATATGATCAAGGGATGTACATTGTATCACGTTTTGAGTAAGAAATGAGGATCCTCGTAGTTACTTAGCTAGAGCTAAATGTATTCAAAATAAGCTTGAATCAGAACAATGTAATGAGAAGGGGGTAATTGTAGTTCAGCAGCAGAAGTAGTACAAGAATACAATGTGTAAAAGAAGTTAGTAACTTTAAAAAGTAGCTTTATATCCTTAATGTATATAACGGATGAATGAAAAAGAAATTTAGTTTTCAGGATGACTACCATAAAAGAGTGTTTAAAAAAAAAAAAAAAAAAAAAAAAAAAAAAAGCCAAAAAAATTAAAAAAAACGAAAGCAAAAAAAGAGCTAGAAAAATGAAGTATTTTTGGTGAGAGGGGGCAAAAAAGAACACACTAAAATGTTGTTGATTCAATACAAATTGCGCTTCATATTGAATGACTAAAATGTAAGCATCACAGATATCAGGTATTATTAATGCACTGAAAACTGGTTATTTTAACAAAGCAAGCAATGGAAAACTAAGGAAAGAGGAAGAATGCTGTAAGAAATTCTACTTCAGCTTCAATGAGGAATTCAGAAGAAATCAAAGGACAAGGAAAAAAAGAAGAATCACTAAGAATAAGTGGATGTGGATGTGCCCCATTGCTTGCAGACTAGGCACACGCTTGTGTAGATGCGCCCCATTGCAAGGTGCAACCTCCTGTGGACGTGCCTTTGTGTAGATGCACCCTGTTGCTGTTGAGGCTCTCCTGTAGACCTTAATATGTTTCTGCCAGTTATTGCAGTTAACAGCTTTACTTCTCACTGCTCAGTACTATTGTGAATTGGGCTTTATTACTGCATCCAAGTAACTGTTACTGTAACTTTAAGCTGTATTATAGTTTATTCATATATTTATTATTTTATTATAATTCTCCTAATGAACACTTAAAACTGTTGTTAATCTACCCAAAATCTTGTTTATTCGGGCCTTTTAGAGCATTTTCTGGAAAATGTTTCAGTGATGGGATTGATAAAATACCTTGCTTTAACCATTATAGCTTTATGTAAAAGACCCAAACCAGCCCTGCCCAAGGAAATCTAGATTGAAACGTACTACCAAAAACAACACCACTATATTCTCTATTTCCTTCTATTGCTTGATGGAACAGATCTTAAAAGTATGAAGAATCATCAACACACACAGCAAATACTGGAAAATATTATACAAACTGTGTTGTTGAACCTGTATTTTGCTCCTGGAGGTGGCCCTTTCAAAACACAGCTGAGTGTCTCTGCCAGCACTCGGTGCCAAGGCTGAAACTGCTTACTTTGTGCGTGTACTTGAGTTAAAAGTTTCCAGTACTGCTGACATCTAGGAGGATTTCTTTTCAGGAAGAAATGCAAGAGAAATCCTTATTTTGGTATTCCATCTGAAAGAAGAGTTTTCAAACAACCAAAAAAAAAAACAGACACAAATTTCTAGAGTTGGAAATGTCTTTTTACAGAGTTCCTAAGGGCCAAGGCTCTACATGAGTTCAAACTAACAGCATCCCACTATTATCAGTTTTAAATGATGCTGAGTTTGTGGGTTACTGGTATTAATAACGTTTAGCCAAAAAGGAAACTACAGCTTATAGTCTTATGGCTCACTTATGTGGTGCCAAACTCCTCATTGAATATTTGATCTTGCAGTCAAGAACTGATTTCTGGTCACCACTCTCAGTGGTCAGAGGATTACACAGATGCAAATGCCAGTCCCAAGGCTCTAACAAGGCAAATATTTTCATATAAGGTAAGGAAAATGCATAAGGTTTCCATGAAAGGAAATAAGCGTGCGCTCTTCCTAGTCACTGCTCCTAGCTATATTGACTCCTCGTCCACAATGCTTTCAAAATGTCTTGAATCTTTTGATAAGCACTTTCTTCAGAAAAGACATTTCTGCTAAAAAGATGAATAAAAGCAACATAGAAGGGTTTGTTTGCTTGTTTTAACTATCTGTGGTTCTCTATTGGAGGCTTTATTTTCTGTTGCTACAAAAAAGCAGCGTTCAGTTCTTGGAAGGATTATCAATTATTTTAAAAAAAATGGTGAAGAAAGAGCACAGGTTTTCATGACCAAATCTGGCATGCTGAGTTTTTGTACTTCGAAGCACAAAGAGAAGATGATGTTTTCGTGTGCCCTCTCTTGTTCCCCTTCATATTCTCGCCCCTCCCTT